TACTTTATATTTCACTCCATTGTGTTTTTTCTTTCTTTTTAGCTGTCCTTCATACATGACAAAAAAGAAGTGACTATTACATTGCCTGGAAACCATCAGTTCAAGTTTCCCAATGAAACTGGTTTGGAAACCATTACATTTATCTGCACAGATGGAGAGCTGAAATTCAAAAGCGTCTCACTAGGTTAAACAACCTCCTGACCTGTTTACCTTTTTTTCTTAATAAGGCAGCAAAATAAATGCAACTGAATTCTGGTCTTCTGTTGATGTGTCTTTTCAGTTCTTGTCTTCGTAGTTCAGGATTTCTCAAACCAACCATCTCTATATACCTCGAGGGTGGCTAACTGGGCATAGGGCTGCTTGGTTGAGGGATAAAAGCTGTATACATAAAAAATGCAAAAGGAGTACATTTTGGGGTCCTTATTGTTTATTTGCATCTCAGTTCTTATTTTATAACAAAAAGAAAATTAAAGATAAAATAAAACGGGATAATAAACCAGAATAAAAACAATTTATTTCAAAACAAAAGGTTATGCACTGCCTTTGCTCACGCACAAGCATGCTCAGTTTACATAGAAATCACCACTTGCATTACTACTGGGGAGGAAAACAGCTGAGGCAATGCACTCTGCCGCACCTTTCAGCTGGGCTTCAGAAAAGGGAATATAGGTGATTATAGCACAGGGGTGGCCGAGAGGGCCCAGCTGAAAGTCAGAGTGAACCGGTTTACTCCCAGCTGATAGTCGGAGCTACCAGTTCACCTGAACCAGTCCGAACTGGTAGAATCCCACCTCTGTATAGAAGATCTCTGAGCATGGGGAGAGAGAAGGAGATAAGCTTACTTCAGTCTAACAGTCACTCAGCAATACAGAGTTTAATTAAATACATTTGGAGGATACCATTTAGCAGAAATAGACAGCCAGTTTGTTGTAGCAGTTAACCTGATGCCTTAATGCAGGACTGTCAAACTCCTGGCCCGTGGGCCGAATGCATCACGTTCTGGCTACGCCCGGTTTAGCGAAGGGGGTGGGGAAGTCCCAATATGTCACATGACGTCGCCATGACAATGTGAGTTTGACACCCCTGCTTTAACGCCTCACTAAAAACCAGGTGTCTGTCAGTTCTAGTGCTCAGTAGATGCCAGGTGCGTGATCTTGGAATACTGACTCCAGGAAAACAAACAAAAAATTAGCAAAAAAACCTGCTTCACCTATTTGGAAATTATGCATAACCAGCTGCTGGAAATTCACCAGAACTTCCAAGTGCTAACTTGTTACTTCTGCAACCATAACTACATCATGAATACCTTAGAAGAGTAGAATGTATATTTATGTGAAACCTACCTGGAGTAACTGTGCAAGAAAAGTGAGAACTTATAATAATTATTTATTTCAGGCTATCTACTTGTAAAATAATCTTCAGTAATTGTTAAAACATATGAGGCACTTCAAAGTGCAATGCAAGCATTTTAAAGTATATTCATGACTACAAGAATGTGGCAAAAGGGAGGAATCTAAAATCCTTACTAGGGAAATCTAAAGAATTTTTATTAAGCCAACACAAAATATATCACACATGAATGCATTTTAAAATCTCCATGTCAGTCAAGAAAAAGTTATAAAAAGCAGGAGGCAGGAAATAAACTCAGGGATTGGGGATTTCTAAAATACAGTTAGCGTTCCACTTACAACCATTCATTTAGCAATCATTCAAAGTTGCAACAGCAGTGAAAAAAGTTACATATGACCAGTCTCCAAACTTATGACCATAGCAGATTGTGTCATGTGACCACCATTTGCAACCATCCCAGCCAGTTTCTGACAAACAAGATCTCAGAGGGAAGCTGGATTTGCTTAATAACCACATGATTCACTTAACAACTAAAGTGATTTGCTTAACTGTGGGAGAAAAGTTCGTAAAATCCAGTGCAACTCACTTATGTAACAGCCACCATGGAAATTCTGGTCCTCATTGTGATCAGAAGTCAAGGACTACCTATTATACCTGAACCAGTTTGGCATCCTGAGTAAAGGCATCCTGAGTAATGCCTGTGGATTGCCAATTTTATAAGACAAAAGTTTAGAGTTAATCTGCTCTTGGCTCTTGTCCACCAGGGGACAGCCTTGCCCACCTCCTGGCTCAGCTTCAAACTGGGCATGTGACATAGATATACATGCCACAAGGAACGTTCGGATAAACCACGACTCTGATTATCCCATTTTATCTCATTTGACTTGAATGTCACAAAGAAGGTAGTTTGCCATCTGGCGGTGAGGAAAGAGTCATGCAGACTACAACTTCTAGGTTGCATGCAGACTTCCATTTGGCCAAATAAATTTCCTAAAGATGGAAAGGAGGAGGAGGGGGAAAAATCTACCAATGTCCAATTCCTTTTAACATTTTTGTTTGCATCTTGCCTTTCCCATTCATGCAAGCTACTTAGCCCCTGTGTCGGCAAGTCCACCAGATTTACCAGTGATGGGTCTCAAAATTTTTTTAGAACCTCTTCTGTAGGTGTGGCCTGCTTTGTGGGAGTGGCTTGCCGGCCATGTGACTGGGTGGGAGTGGCTTGCCAGCCATGTGACTGGGTGGGCATGGCCAATTTGTAAAATGTAGTGAAACTCACTTAACAATGCTCTTGCTTAGCAACCAAAATGTTGGCTCAGAAACTCTGGCATTTGAAGCACACAAGTCTTAAAACTGTCAAGTTACAAGACCCTTGCACCCCTAACCCTTTAGAAAAAAACCCCAGGGGTGTTCAAACTTGACAGCTTTAAAACTTGTGGACTTCAACTCCCAGAATTCCTCCTCTTGCTCTTCAGCGGGGGGAGGTAGCTGGAACCAGTTCTAAACGGAATTGTAGATTTGTGGAACCTCTTCTATAGAAGAGGTTAGAACTGGCAGGAACCCACCTCTGAGACTGACCTTCTCCTTCTAGAGCAGTGTTGGTGAACCTTTTCGGCACTGAGTGTCTAAATGAGAGCGTGTGCGTGCATGCATGCCAGAAATCAGAAGAGCAGCCACCCAGTGTGTATGCACGTGCCTGGAAGATGATCTTCCGGGTTTTGGGTGTGCACATGCACACCAGCCAGTTGGTCTTCATGCACGCATGCGAACCAGAAACCAAAAGATCGGGTGGCCGGTGCGTATGCATGCACCAGAAATTGGAAGAGCTGCTGCCCAGCGCTTCTGTACGTGAAGACCAGTTGGCAGGCACACTGGAACCTGGAAGAGCAACAGGCGACCGCTCGCATGCCCGGAGAGATGGCTCTCCGTGTCACTCCTGGCACCCGTACCATAGGTTTGCCATCACGGTTCTAGGGAATTATACTGTTTAACTCTCAGGGATTGTTCCCAGGCAATCCCACAAAGCAGCATTAATTGGCATATTTGCATTTTGCAGTTTTGAAATTTATGACCATATTTTCCTGACATATATCTGTCTGATTTGCTTTATGTTATGCAGGTCTAATTTCCTATGCCAAAGTTCAACACAATTTCTCCCTTTACCCTGCTTTGCTAGCTTCACAAACCCACCAGTTTTGCTGCTGTCACCAGAGGTTTCCCAACTCTTTAAGGAATCCATTCTGAAAGCATTCTAATGCTTTTCTTTGAAACAACAGAGGCTCCCCCTCTGTTTATCACAGCATCTACAGGCCCTTGAAAACCTCTTTGCTTTCATTGGCTACGAGGATTTGTTCTTTGCAGGTTCAGGATCAAGAAATTATCAAGATCCACACAAATCCTGATCTGTGAATCAAAGAACAAGATTAAAAGGACAGTGTGTGTTATTATTTATCTTTCTCCATTTGCCCTAGTGATCAAAACTAATGCATAGCCAAGAGATGACACAGTCTTCAATGGCAATTACAAACATCTCTTATAGGATACGGAAGCTTCGCCCCACAGGGAGAGTAGCAGTCATTTCAAAATGACTCCATCACTTTGAAATGAGTTTTACTTATCTTCCATCTTTCAAATATTCTGGGCTCCTCTCAGTTACAACCCAGGGTGGCTGGAAATGGCTGGGATTGTAATAAAAGATGTAAGCAACGCAACTCAACTAGGCTGGGGTGGTCTGCAACAGAGGGTCCTCCCACCTGCAGTGCCCCTTTGCTCTTGTCTCCACTCCTTCTAGGGAAAGGCTTGATAGGCTCTCTCATTTATCCTCTCTGCTTGGGTGGTCAACATTGCTCTGGCCAGGGTTTTCAACTGCGGTTGTTATTGTTGTTTTAAATATCTGTTGCCAGAAAGGGCATAGTTTAAAATGGAACATTTATGTTACGTTTTGTTTAAAAGCAAAATAGGTTCCCTAAGTCGACTGGAGGTTTAACAGGCATTTTAAAACAGGAATCAGCTGAAAATTTATATTACTGAATTTGCTATTGAATTTTGGGTGGGACTCAGACTGGCTCGTAGCTGGGAGATTAAGGCCGATCTGCATTATTGACACATTCCAGGGTGAAGATGGGCTGCCAATCACTTTTGGAGTTCATGAGCACACAAGATCATCCTCTCCCAGGTTCTAGTCCACAAGGAAGACAACTTTCCCTTTTCTTTTTCTGCTACACATTGAAAGTGCTGTTTTTGCTTGTTTAGCTATTCAACCCATACACTTCATTTCTCTGTAGGCAAATCCCTTCCCTCCAGTTGATTCCAGTGCATTGCCCTGCATGGTTATTTTACCAATAGGAAAAGCTGGACTTCCTTTTTTCTGTAAAGATAGAAGAGTAGAACAATGGAATATGGACCTTTCCTCCTTCCCCCAAATGACATTACTGAGTTGTGCTGCACTTCCCTTCAGGTCCAGGTGACCTTTTAAAAAAATAGTAAATCTATGGTGCATTCTTTTTACTCTCCCAGAGGGCTAAAGAAGCAGAGGGATACACTAATTAGATGCTGTGGTAAATACATTTAGGACAGAACATCAGATTATGCAATTCTGTTCTTTTTTGTATTTGCTCTGTTCCATTTTCCTTTCCACTTTCCAAATTCAAATTTGCTTCCAAACTTAGATTAGAGCAAGATGTTGTAGAGTCATGGAATAATATTGCAGACAGAATTTTCCAGGAATTGCAGAAGTAGGACGAGCTAAGATCATGATGTTTGATATGATTAAAAATATTAACCAATGCACAGTTAATTAATGCACAAATGACTTAATTGTCATGGATGAAACTTTGGCAGGCTATAAATCAGGCTTTGGGCAGGGCATTTGTTTTTCACTCAAAGAGAAAATGTCTCATGTGGCTGTAACATACCACACAGCAGCAACATTTAAGAAGAGGCTGAGAGACCAGATTAGGCTCTCTGTAATTAGAGTATTGGAAATGCTTACAGGACATAACTGGAATATCCATACCTTAAACTTCTTCTATAATTCCATCATCATTGATTAAGGGATAGCTTTCTACTGCATGTGCAAATAATCTGTTAATAAACCCATTCTTAAACAGTACAGAGTAAATGCAACTATTTTCTCTGATAGTTTATATTGCCCTATTGGATTGTATCGGATCATAAAATCAAGAGAAGCAAACGACAGGCTTAAAGCTCAACATGTGAGATTGAAACAGCTTAGCAAATGATTGTATTGATGCCATAGTAATGGAGTACATCCCAAATGGTGATCTCTATATATTTTAGGACACCTTTTTCAACTCAATGTCTTTTGGATGTGCTGGATTATAATTCTTAGCCTTTCTGCATATCACAGACATAGAAGTTTAGAAAGCATATAGACAACAATTTCCCACTTACTTCAATACACAACTTGTTAAAGTTATCATTTTTACCATCTTTGTTTAGCTAAGAAGTTTATTACACATCTACCATGGATGAAAAATCTGGGAACTGAGGGACACTATAATTTCTTTCTAGGATATTACAACCATCCAGGTCTTATGTCAGGCTGACATAATTAATGGGAGAAACAGAGCCAATTGTGTGCTGCTGTAGATATATGCAGGAATGTCTGGATGCAATTACACCATTGGAACATCTGAAAGACCAGGTTAGGGACAGATCATCACTGGAGAAAATCTATCTATGTTGTCACTAAGAGTCGGCAACAACTTGATGGGATACAGTCTATATGCATATATCAAGTACAGGCAACTTAAGAACAATAGGATAGATCCAATAATAAACTTGATTGCAGTAATCAACACGACTTAACTAAAATTAATGAAATCAACATGGCTTACTAAAATTAATATTAATTTAATGACTCTAAGGATATTTCCACATTACTATTCTCCCACTCCCTGGTTTTGCAAAAGAATCAGTCATCCTCTACAAATCTGCCAATTTTAAAATGCCAAAAATGAGGAGTGTTAGGGGTATCTCTGCTGGGAGACAGAAAGTAGTGCAGCGGAACGTACAGCTAGAGAGAAAGAATGTTGCTAGTAGAAAACACACAAAGAGAGTTTCAGACACTGCTAGTAAAAACAAGTAGCTTTACTACTGATAATTGCTTCACAAGCAGTGATAGTAGATATTAGTCCAAACACAATTTAAAGAACAAACAATAGCTTACAGTCACAGTTCACATTCTAGTCATCAAGTCATCAAGATAGGACAAGCAGAGAGAGAGAGTGAGCTCTCTTGACTCCTTCTTATTGTAAAGTTAATTACACCTGATAAGTACATCCACTCATTTAAAGCAACAACGACCATTTGTTGTTGTATAAAGATATATATTGCCTACCTAACACCAGGAGTATACTCCCAACAAGGAGCAAAGATCACTGACCCACCCAGCACTGCCAGAAGTTCTCCACTAACAAAAATCTCCTCACCCCCATTCCACCTCAAGAAGAAATAAATTGCCTCATACGTATCTATATTCTTGTTATCTGCTCGCCTGATGGTTTGTAAAATAAAAACCAGATGAAGCCCAAACCCTGCGCACGGTGAGGCCAGGAGTTCTGACAAAGGAGAAATAATCATCCACAGGGTCAAATGAGCCAAGGTGTTTTCAAAGAAAAAAGTCATTTCAAATGCACCATAGCTGAGCCAGAAATAAACTAATTCAGCTTCTAAACAAGGCAATACAATGAGCTCAGAGGTCTAGAGCTATTCTTAAATTAATGCAGAGCTCTCACTTAGAAATAGCATCCATGCCAGGAATACAATATTACTGCAGAAAGCTAAGGAGAAGCTATTTATTTATTCCTAAATGCTTTTGAGATCAGGTGTTTTTAACCGAACATTTGACTTTCAACTCCCAACTTTTTGTCTTCTCAATGAGAAAAGAATATCAGCATTATCATGGAGGAGACATCGAGCCTTTTCCCACCACCCATTTAAAATGCTACCTTTTGCATCTTGGAGCGAAGGGAAAGGACGCGACAAGCGGGTATGCAAACAGCAACCTTTATTGAAACAGAGTGACTACGATTCAACGTGGCGTGGTTCGCGCCAAACATTTATACCTCCGGGTTTGAACGAGGAGCCAATGGGGCGTCGAGTAGCTCGACCAATCGGGGCGAGGATTGAACCGGCTCCGCCCGGGAACCAATCAGAAGGGAGTCCTTTATTCCCGCGCTTGTATTTCCCGCGCTAGTATTCAACACTACCCACCCACCCACCTGGAACCAGAAGAAAACGTACTGCTGTCAGCACTTTGAGGTAAATAGACAGGAAACAAGCCAGTAGAGTTTTCAGAATGCTTTTTATTGTTCTAGGATATAATACGGTAGCAATATCTTGAAACTAAGCCTGTCTAATTTTCTTTACTATGTATATCTTATGCCAAACAAAATCAAGGCAGAGTTATTTTTGAATTGCTTTCTCAAGAGTGAGAAGTCTTTTCTAAACCTTCTCCTCCCAATGGCTCATCTACCCTTTTTTCAACAACAGTGGCATGTGCAGGGATAGAGTTTTGGAAAAAAAACATCCAATTTGCAGATAAAGCCACTCTTAAAAATAAAACCTGCCCAGGTTCAGCGGGATACTTTTTCATAAGTGTGGCATCTTGAGCCTGCCTAGGAGGGGATCTACAATTTCTGTCAGGTGGTAGAAAAGCCTGATTTGAAAAAGGTAGATTCTCTTGTCTCCTTGAAAAAAATTGATCCTAGGAGGAGATGCCCAGAGACCAGAAGGGAAGGTTGTCCCCACACCAGCCTGAAATGGCCAATAGATGCCAGGACTATTTATCCCCTTTGACTACCTGACTGAATCACTGATAGTAAAACACATTATATTTTGCACACCTTTATCTAGCATCTGCAGCAAGATGCTTACGGTTACCAATTTATCATGGATATTTAATGCTGATTACCCTTTCCGGCTGGTTCTGAAGAATAATCAAATCATAATTTAATAGAACTCAAGAGCAATATCCCACTCTTTAGCCCTATTTTTCCTTCTGAGTAATACCTCTAAGCCTTCATAATCTCCACCAGCAATCCTGTAAAAAATGTTAAGTGGCTGCAGCCCACGCTTAATTTGGAAGTGTGCTTGACAGCTCAGAGTAAGGAAAATGTAGACTGAGAGGGTCTTAGAGAGGTCAGCAGGAATATTCTCACTAGTCTGCATGAGTTCCTATCATGTGCCATCAAAATTCTCAGTGTACCCATGAAGCTCAAAAGGTTGAAATTCCTTGGGTTATGTAAGTAGGATGAACCTCAGGAACAATGACATCTTTGACATTAATTATTAATGGATGTCTTCTGTTTCTTCAATCAGGTCAACTCCCTGTGCTGCAGATACACGTTCTGCTCGAGGTTTTGCATTTCTCCCCCTTCTGAAGGCGGCAAACTCTCTGCCTTGTCTTTCCTCACACTGAGTTGACACGTACTCACGGTAATTTTTTGTTAGCAGAGTGTAAAGGAATGGGTTGATGCAACTGTTGCTATAGGTCAAACAGGTAACACCAAAGTTGAGGTAGGCCTGAGCAGTAGGGCCAATGTCCAAGTCCATTGACCAGTACAATTTGGCTAACTGCCAGGCCCAGAATGGTACAAAGCAAGCCCAATAGGCCACAATGATGCTGAAGATCCTGGAGAACAGCTTCTGTTTCAACATTCTGCCCGTCACCTGAGACTGCATAGTTTTTGTAGAAAGCCAATAGCTCCATGCAAGACGTGAGTACAATATGGCTAGGACAATGCCGGGTGTTAGGATGCTAGTGCCAAAGAGAACTGTGAGGTAAACTCGGAAAGCCTCAGGTGTCCATGTGGGAAAGCAAATATGTTTATGGCTTCCACTTTCCCGCTGCTGGATCATGACCATCATTGGTATTGTAAGCAACAATGACAGAAGCCACACAGCAAGGCTGGCAACTTTATGATAACTGTTCCCAGCAATCCTAACCTTTAGTGGTCTGGTCACTGCCCAATAACGCTCCAAGCTCATGGCTGTCAGCAGAAAGATGCTAGCATGCATTGTGAGCAAGTCCAAGCTAAGCAAAAATCGGCATCCTGCATCTCCAAAGAACCAGTCCTGGGCAAAATAGGTACAAACCACAAAGGGAATGGTGGAAAGGTAGAGTAAGTCTGCCAAGGCCAAGTTAATAACATACACACACAAACAGCTCGCGGAACGAATTGCCATGCTGCCAAACGCCACCACCAGTGTATAGATATTTCCTGTCATCCCAATGAAGCACATCAGAAGGAGGATTGCTCCCAAAACTCCCGTGAGAGAACTCTGCTCCTGAAAGTCAATTTCTTCATCTGAGAAATTGCCCCAGAATGGTTCTTCAATGAGTTCCGCCATCACTGAATAGCCAAAATGGACTCCAGTTCCACAGAAAACTATCATAAGCAAATTTTGTGCCTCACAAGTCTGACAGTTAAGATCACTAAGAAGGGTTGGGAATGCTGATGGAGAAAAAAACAAAATAGGTTGGATATGAGGAAAGAAACCTGTTCTTCATAAGGAATGATGGCAGTCTTCCTTGCGTGTCATGCTCAGCGATGCTTCTTACCATTCCTTAGAGAAAGACCATTGACTGAAAGAAGTACATCTGAGGCATCTTATGAATGGAACAGCACGGTTTCTTCTTTCTATTTTCAACCTCCAAAGATTGGGTCCTGTGCATCTGTGATTCTTCAACTTCTCTTTCTATTCTAGTATTCATCTGCTAGCCCATTAATGCAAATCAATCATTTCAGAGCAATCCAACAGATTTCTTCCTCATGTCTTCTGCTGCCCAACTGACTGTCCTCTACTCAAAAATAGCATTCCCCTTTATGGGGGAGGAATATGTCTGACTCACGGCTTCACACTCAAATGCTAATATTCTCAGCAATAACTACTGGACTGTTAGCTAATGAAGAATGACACTGTGTATTTAAACCATCATGTCTTCCACCCATCTAACTCCCATCTGTTTCCTTAGCTTTCTGTCACTTTCTCCGTTGCTTTCTCCAACCCCAGCTTCTCCCCTTTTGTGCATTGTTGTAACAGAGAAGGAAGGTCCTTAATTGTCTTAGAAATAAATAAAATAAGAAATAAAATAGAAAATTAAGAGCTGTGTTAGGAAAGAAGGGGGCTAGGATGGAGTAAGATAAACTAGTTAGTGGAATCAACACTACTTATGGTATAATAGAAAAAATGGTACTGAAAAAAAATTCCCCACAGAATTGTTTATGTAGCATTATAATTTTAAGATATTTAAAATATATCTGGAATAAAATATGGGTTTTTTAAGTCAATCATACCCAATATCTGCCTTGATCTAATCAGGATGCTCATCATCTTATGCAGTGGTCTGTGACAGATGTGATGAGGTTTGGAGAATCATAGATTTAAAAGAACCTTTTAGACAATTAAAGCCAACTCCCAATTATTTCAAGAACACATATTAAAGCAAGCCTCATTTTCTATGATTCTGCGTCGAACTCAGCCAGGATCTCATCACCAATCTCAGAAATTGTCAGTTATCATATTTCCCACCCACTACCCTCATTTTCAAGGCTGAACATATCCAGTTCCTGCAATCTCTTCTTTTAAGACATAGCTTCCAGGACAGAAACTTTGAAAATGTTTTGAAAGAAATGTGCTATGAATCTTGCACTTCGCTTCTCTACTGTTTGGTAAAGCTTCCTGCTATTTTTTTGAGTGTGTATCTGAGGGGGGAAAGATTCAGCTGTATTAAAAGTCACAACTGAACAATTAAAACAGACATATCTTTTTTCAGGGTAGCATGGAAGCCTAAAAAAGACAGATAATTCCAAACCATTTTTGAAGTGTGCAAAGCTTACTTTCCAAGCTAATGATCCTTCCTCTTCCAAAATTTGCTTTGCTTCTATCATAATACCAAACAAGGAGAGCAAACAGTGGCCAATCAACAGCAAGGAGTGGTAGCACCCTAGGTGGGAATATGCACATTTTGGTCAATGCAAAACAAACCATTCAATTTATTGTAGGGCATTGCAGTAGCATCCATCAGCTACTTTACCTCAGTCTTTGTGCTGCTTATTTGTATAGCAAGTGTAATTCAGGGTCAAAATGATTTTGAGGGCCAGTTGTCCAGCAGTATTTTGGCAGAGGGCTGTCTAAATGGATTTTATTTCTTTCAACACTTCTTCCAGCTCTGAATGAATGCATGGGCTGCTTTGACTCCAGAAAGTCTTTTCCTTTGTGGTATCCGAAAACTATAGACCCAGAAACTAGCAGCGACTCACTCTTCCTCAGAGATGTTAATGTTTGATCCTGAAATTAGCTTCAACTGTTAAAAAGAAAGAAAAGAAAATATGTTATATTATATTATAATATTATAAGAGCCGAGGTGGCGNGAACTTCATGAACTTTTAGGAGCCAGTGAGCACCCAGCTAATCTGATGAAGATAGAGCTCGGCGGATCTAGATATTGCTGGCTGGCTGGCGCTCTATGGTCAGGCAATAAGCGCGCCTAGATAGTCGCAATTGCAGTATCAAGTGCCTGTAGCTGAACTGAAAGGAATTGAGACCATAGAATCGCGTATTGCTAGAGAGAATAAGGAAAGGCGAAGCCCTGGGAAACCTCATCTTCCGGCTTCCTAATGGAGGATCGCGGTGGCTGTTGTAGTTTTTCCTGGGTCGAAGCGGCGGCTGGCAGGTGAGGGGAGGGCAGGTCGGAGGAGAAGCCGGGAGCGAGTCGGGAGGTTCGGATTGCTCCACGTTGTAGCAGCAGATAATCAACTCTGCTGAAATACGTCGCCTCTTGCATATCCCCCTTCCCTCCCAGCCCAATTTTATTCCACCAGGGCTGCAGGTTTTAAGTTGCCTGCAATTTGCTCCTGATTGGGAGATTTCAGTTCTACCGCCACTTTAAAGTAGATTCCCTGTGTTTCTTATGAGCGCATTGCTTTGTTTGCAAGGGAGGAGATTCACAGGCAACACCGGTGCTTTAAATCTTGCAGAGGCTTTAGCATTTCAGAATCAGAATAGATCTGGAAGGGACCTTGGAGGTCTTTTAGTCCAGCCCCCTGTTCAAGCAGGAGATCCTATAACATTTCACGCAAGTTACTGTCCAGCCTCTTCTTAAAAACCTCCAGGGATGAAGCACCCAGAACTTTTGATGGCAAAGTTGTTCCATTGGTTAATTGTCCTCATTGTTAGGAAATTTCTCCTTCGTTTTAGGTTGTTTCTCTCCTTGATTAGTTTCCATCCATTGTTTATTGTCTTGGCCTCTGGTGCTCTGGAGAATAATTTAACCTCCTCTTCTTTGTGGCAGGAAAATACAGACCAATCAGCCTAACATCAATACCTGGGGGGGGGGGGAATTCTGGAAAAAATAATTTAAAAAGCAGATCTGTGAACATCTAGAAACAAAGTTATAAGTAGTAACAAGCATGGGTTTGTTAAAAACAGATCATGTCAAACCAATCTTATTTTATTCTTTCATAAAGTGACTAAATTAGTAGACCAGTGAACTGCTGTGGACATAGTACACTTAGATTTCAGTAAGGCATTGGACAAAATAGACCACAGATTCTCTGCTTAGTTATATTTTTCTGGGATTTTACCAGGTATTGATGTCAAGCTGATTGGCCTATAATTTCCTGGATCGTTTCCCACCTTTTTGTAGTTTGGAATCACATTAGTTCTTTTCCAGTATTTCTTTTCTGATATTTCTCCTGTGTTACATAAACTTTCAAAGATTCCATTCCGTGGTCCCAAAATTATATCATTCAGAATTCTAGGCAATGCAATAATACATGTTTAGATAATACAACACAACACAATACAGTAATTTAGATAGGAAGATAGTATCTTCTACTTAGAACTTCTTTAGAAGCCATGTGGGTGGGCAGTTTAAGGTTTTGTCTCATATTTCATTATAATAGGATGAAGCTGGAAATCATTTAGAGTTGCACACATGCCAAACGAAAAACTGGCTGGAACAATCTTTGCCGGCCCCAAAGGGGATGCACTTTCTCGCTGCCTGTTTGCATGTCGTTCCCCACAAGGACAAGTTCCTTTGTTTTAGCGGCTGCTTATTGCAAACGAAGCTTCAGGCTCAGCTCCAGGGGGGAGGAGTGCACTCTTGGGGGGCTTGAAAGAAGAGGTGTGGCATAGATGGCCATGGACAAAAGCTATTGACATGCTCGTTGGGAGTTGAATACGACTTTGACTTCATGGCACAGAAGGAAGTGCAGAATCAATGAAAACATCTTGCAAATGCTTTAGAGTAGAAATGGAATGAGCGCTTTTCAGCCTTATATCACTAGATGGCGATCTTCAGCAAAGCAATACTTGTGCCTATGAATAAAGTGAATAAAGTACAATGATGGCATTATTAGTCTAATGGGGGGTAGGTCTTGAGCTGGAAGGAGTTGAAACAATAGAGTAGTGGATTACTAGAGAGGATGTGGAGGAGAGGAGGCAAAGGACTGTTAATGACCCCACCTTTTTAAAATTAGATCAAAAAATCTGAGCGAATCCACTTCTGGGACTTACTGCACAGGGAAATACGCATACATTTTTCTCATACATAACTTCATAGATGTGCAAATTTCTGTGTGCATATACATGTATGGTATAATCTTTAGTATTTTCAGGTAAATTTTATAATGTCAATTTACAATCCTAATAATTTCATGATTTACCTAAGCCCAAAAGAGAATTTCATGATTGGATATATGAATGCATATTTGAACTTGGATCTTGCTAGATCTCTAGATGCCAAATTGTAATTGTAATTAATGTTAGAGATTAAACTAGCATTTTGATATGTTTGCTTTTTCGTGGTAATATATGTAGGCTTTTTTCCCCTGTTATCACAGGTTCTGCAGCTATTTTTTAAACCAGAATGAAACTAATCCATTAATATGAATCTCATTGACAGAGGATGCCAAGAAGAGCACCCTGGATTCAAGAGGGGTTTGAATCAAAGCACCACGTGTTAAAAATTAGAAATATTTTTTTTACCTCCTGAAGAATCCAAGATTATCAGTTGAAAAAAACCCACAGTCTGTCTATTGTGGGGGAAAACAAACATTGCTAATCACAGCTTGAATGAGGGGATCCACACCACAAAATATATGCAATAATGCTTGGAATGTGGAAAACGCTTTACTCAGAACAACTTCCTCCTGGAAGTACCCACACTGGAGAGAAATTCTACCAGTGCTCCCAATGTGGCAAAAGGCTTAGCACACACACCAATCTGGTCAGACATAAGAAGATTCACACTGGGCAGAAACCCTTTGATTCTCCTGATTGTGGGAAAAGTTTTATCCAGAATTCTGACCTAGTGATTCACCAGAGGACTCACACGGGAGAAAAACCATATGCTTGTCCAGAGTGTGGGAAAAGTTTCAGTAAGAATTTCAATCTGGTGATACACCAGAGGATTCATACAGGAGATAAACCATATGAGTGTCTGTATTGTGAGGAAAAGTTCAGTCAGAATGCCAAGCTGGTAATACACCAGCGGACTCACACAGGAGAGAAACCATATGAGTGTTCAGATTGTGGGAAAAGCTTCAGTCGGAATTCTTACCTGGTGATACATCAGAGGATTCACACAGGAGAGAAACCATATGAGTGTTCAGATTGTGGGAAAAGCTTCAGTCGGAATTCTTACCTGGTGATACATCAGAGGACTCACACAGGAGAGAAACCATATGAGTGTTTGGATTGTGGGAAAAGTTTCACTCGGAATTCTTACTTGGTGATACACCAGAGGATTCACACAGGAGAAAAACCATATGAGTGTTTGGATTGTGGGAAAAGTTTCACTCAATAATTCTAACCTTGTGATACACCAGAGAACTCATACAGGAGAGAAACCTTATGAGTGTTCGGATTGTGGGAAATGTTTCAGTCAGAACTCTAAGCTTGTGATACACCAGAGAACTCACACCGGAGAGAAACCATACCAGTGTTTGGATTGTGGGAAAAGTTTCAACAATAATTCTAACCTTGTGATACACCAGAGAACTCATACAGGAGAGAAACCTTATGAGTGTTCGGATTGTGGGAAATGTTTCAGTCAGAACTCTAAGCTTGTGATACACCAGAGATCTCACACCGGAGAGAAACCATACCAGTGTTTGGATTGTGGGAAAAGTTTCACTCGGAATTCTTACCTAGTAATACACCAGAGGACTCACACAGGAGAGAAACCATATGAGTGTTTGGATTGTGGGAAAAGTTTCACTCGGAATTCTTACCTAGTAATACACCAGAGGACTCACACAGGAGAGAAACCATATGAGTGTTTG